GGGCCAGAAAGCGGAAAAACGTTTTCGTACGAAGGAACGCTTGCTGCGCAAGCTATTTCGCCATATCAAAAAAATCAACAGATTGTCAACTGCATTACAATGTGTGTAAGGAACCAGTCCGGCCCAGACAGCAACGCGTTCAGTGCAATGAATACATGACCCGATTATTGTAGCGCAACACTGTCATTGTACAAAGTATTCTGGCAAACTTGCCACTCAGTCATTTGGATTTCATTTTTGTTTCAATAGCTAAGCTAGATCGTAAAAAGTGTACAGTCGCTTGTACGAATTCATTCAATCGTTTCTGGCGTGAAAGGGTTTAACTATACAGAACGACAACACTTGGTAACAAATAATTCTTCAATTTGACTTTTCTAGGGGAATGCGACTTCAGGCGCTGCTTCAAGCGAAGCGACTTGCACCGAATTCCTGCCCGTCGTTGGAGTCGAAGCTTCCAAACAGTGTCGAATCAGTCACATAGACATCGTGCTATGTCAATCACAGATTAAAGATATCAAAGATACTTACGGACTCTAAAGGCCGAGGACGCATATTTCTTCTAGCTTAAAACTGTCAGGCGAAATTGTGGATATGCGTAATTTTATTCTGCGTAGGGATGTGGTGAACCTGATTGGAACAGGTTTGGTCACGTCCTCGAAAGACTGGTAATGAATCGGGTTGGACAGTGGTTTTGTTATATAATGACAACATTCTATTTTCATGTTGCCGTGCGTCTGTTCGAAAAATTTATATTTTTAGGCTTAAAATTACACAAAATCCTGAGAGTCTAATAAGAAGAATATTCATGGACATTAAATATTAAAAACTTGAAATTATTCAGCCCACGTAGATGGCGGAAGTGCTTTGTTTTGGAGGCGAAGAGGTGGCGAAGTAAACGAGAGTGATGAAGCTTCGAGGGGATTGGTTAAGAGTCGACAGCCTGCGAGTTGTAGCGTTACACGAGCCAACCGCTAGCTCGAGTCACGATTCAACCTCGAGTCACGAGTCAACCTCCAGTCAATCACGAGTCAAACGAGTTTTTTTTCTTCTGTTTTTTTTTTTTTTTTTTTTTATTTCGTCCCGTAAGAAAAAATAGATTGTGTGAAATAGAATATATGAATATAGATAAATTTCTTCATTTGTGCATTTCGGCTCTCTAAGGTTATTGTCACTATGTCATTGATTTCTTTATAAAATAAATGCAGCTTTGCAACACTAATACAGTTCTGTAAACACGTTCCTGCAACAATTATCGGAACTTCAAGGTCGGGCACAAAATTCAGGAAAGAGGCAACTTGCTCGCGTGGCACGAATGTATGATATCGTTCAACATTTCTCTGAGTCAGTAGACCGTAAATCTTCGAATTAGCGCCCGGGGCGCTTATTTCAAATTTAGGAGGAGACGAGGGGCGCTAAGGAGATGAGGGGCGCTAAATCGAGGGGGGCGCTTATTTAATTTTTCCCAATTCGTGGCCTGACATGATCATTTTTTTTAATACATCATCTGCACGTAAACAACAACATAAGCTGTTTTTCGACATAAACAGTTGATCGTAAAGTTTAAATCGCGGCACCGTTAGTATTTGTAATTTTTTCCCAAACTTAACGTGTTGACACAAACTGAAACAATGTACACGACGAAAACTATACATCCTTTGTTGTCTCATTACTCGTCCACAAAATGGGGGAGGGGAGGGGGCGCTTATTCGAGGGGG